GGGGTTTCGGCGATCGCGACACTCGATAGCAGCACTCAATTGACAGCACTGATATGTCCAGTCAATGTCACAAATTTTCTGTATTTAATGATATTTATTGTACATTTTTACGACTATATATAAGCAAGAAGTCGTGCTCGTCGTTGTTGCCGACGACGACGGGTCGGTGGACAGCGACAGAGGTGGGATGCGCCGACGAAACGCCGCGGCAGTGACATGGCGGGACACGTGGGGTCTATTACCAGACCCTTACGAGAGTTGGCCCGGGCAGCAGTGTGGTCGTCGGGGGAGACAGCAAGGACGGGGATGTGGGCGACAGAGGGCAGCGGTTATTATACACGCTGGGCAGTGCTACGTACACTAGATACAAGGGACTCTGGCTCGTAAGTTAGAGAGCACAGGTGGGGTAGGAAACAGGTGGGGCATTAACGTGGGGTGGGCAAATAAGGTTTCCGAGCCTAGCTAGGCTCGCGACTCCGTCTACAGTCGCAAGCCTAGTTAGGCTTGTTTCTGTCGTCACTCGGGTGGAAGATAGCGCTAGCAGGGAATGCTTGACCTCGCCGTTGGAATTACGAGAACGGCGGCCTCACGAGAACTCAAGGGACTTCGCACCAGCGTCCTGCTAGTGGCAAATACGGACAAACAACGTCGCCCGCTTATAAATGGACCGGTCAGGAGGGTTAGCGCTTTCTTTCGTTGTGGATCAACCATCATGTAGGTTGAATCTGTCAACGCTGCTTTCTGTGCCGTGATAGCCTTCATTTCGACGTTCTGAATATGATCGCCGTCCTCCAAATCCGACTGGCGGAAGCTGGGGAGCGTAATTTTCGCCCAATTCGACTCACTCGCCGTGTATATCTACGCCGCCAGCAGCTGTTCACACTGCTGGGGCGTTAAACGACGCGGCTAAAGCAGGATCAACCCTTGCAGATCGTCTATCCCTATATCACTCCTATGGGACGACGTTTTGATAGGACTTGGACATCATCTAGCCCATGACACTAATCGACCTTCACGCATTCACAATTACTCTTCACCTGTATGCAATGTCGAATAAAATATACGAACTGAATAATTTTTGAAACCTGCTGCTTTACCTCGCGCATGAACATGAACAGTAGGGTAAAACGAACTTCTTTAGCAACCTTGTATCCGACCATTCTCCTCGCATAGTTGCTTCGCTCAAGCAGAAAGCAAGTATCCAGAATTCTTTGTGCAAATGCCAAACGGGACATCCGTTCACTCCTGACAAGTGTGATATCGGCCAGGCTTACGATTTCCAACGGAAAGCCTCCAGCTCCGATCCTGAACAGTGCAATTTAGGCCATGGCTTTTCGTCGAAATAAACTATCTCCATCTTTCCCGACACAGAGCTAGCCCATCGTCTTGCTCTTTGTTCGTCCCATTTGAAGACCCGTATGTAGATCTTCTCGAGGGGGACAGAATCCTCGTGAGCACCGTCAGTCCGGCTCAGAAGCATCCGCTCGACGTCAGGATCGCAAGGAAGGTCCCGTGAACCTTCTTGGAGTAAGAGCTTCAACTCACGCAAATTCGGGACGAGACCCGCAGGACCGGAGTAAGTCAAGTCTTGCATGACTTCGCGTGCGGAGAAGAATGGTTTCACATCGCGATCCTCGACCGCAATTTGTTGCAACGAAGGCGTAACAAGTAGCATCTCCTTCAGGAGTCCTGTCCTTAGGCCCAAAAACAAAGGAACGGTGATCAGCAGACTTCGGAGCTCGCAGTTCGACTTAGCCACCATTTCTGTGAAGATGGTAGAGATGGACTGTGGCAGCTTCTTGTCCACAATTGTTATCTCAATGCCGAGCTCTTGTAGCTCAGGAAAAATGATGGAAGCTGATAGAATGCGGAGAAGGCCAATGGATATGAACAACCGTTGCAGATTCGGCAAGGCGACCGGCGACTCCGCAGTGACTTGGCTCAGTGCACAGGGTTCGTACCCGCGATGAAGCCAGCAGCTCTGGAGGTTCTGGCAGAGGTACAATGCCTGGAGCCAATCCTGGTTAGGATTGAACTCCCTGACTTTGAGCTCCACTAGCCTCGGCCACACAGGTTCCAGTTCGCGGACGGTCAAAACCGAAACGCGGCACAGCGACAGCGACGTGATGTTCGGAGCGAATTGAGGCATTCGTCGCATGTTAACGTAGTATTTCTTGTCGTATTCAGGAGATGCGCAGTAGGACCAATGCTGAGATAGACGGAATCTCTGCAATGTAGGACACTTGACCTGACTGAGCAGACGGAACACTATGGGAGTCGTATAAATTTTTAGTGTACAGGAGCGGCGAAGAAGGGATCCGAGGACCTTGAAGCATTTCGAAGTAGCGGTGATGTCGAGGCCTATGGAAACCGACACGCACAGCGGGAGCGCACCAGATCGTGCGAGCCAGAGCTCCATGAGAGCAGTTTGTGACTTCTCGTTAGTCCGGTACTTGCGCGTCCCGATTTCATGCCCTGCTATATTGACGGCAAGCGATGTCCAGATAGTCGGTGTTCTGATCATACACTCTCTCTGTAAGGTGGGCGCCACCGAGTGGCGCCGAGTTCGGACGTGTTTGGTTACTGAGTGATAGATGGACGGATTGGGCAGGCGGATCGTTAGACAACAACTACCTCTGAATCTGCTTAGCTCAATTACCTATCTTGTATCTCTCGCAATAAGACGAGGTTCCGTTTATTGGTGTGTGTGTGATACAAGCTAACTGTACTGACTACGGAGATTCTACACTTTTTTAAATGCTCACCGCGTTCAAAAAACTACTGTTTGTTCGCGACTTATCGCATAGGTACACAGATACCATCTATTACTCAAAAAATCGAACAAAAAACAATACTCTATGGAATCGAACTCATTCCCAGACCCGCCGACATTCATCGACGGCCGAGCGGCGCGATTACCGTTCCGCCCTGCATCGACCCCAGCACGATTCATGCCAGCAAGGCCGAATCGGCGAGGCGCATCCGGCGTTTGGCCAGCTAGCCGTATAGAGGAAGCTGCAGACCGAACCGACAGGATCATCCATC